GCATTCCATCTAATTTTTCACAACTTCCAATATTCCTAGATTCATACTTTGTACATTTCATGTTCTGATTATTAATGGATATTTACAGCTGCTTCTCCTCATTTTGAGACTGTATCCCATCAACAAATGAAGGTCCCAAAGTCTTTACTCCATTCATGGCATCATGGTCAACTCTACTTTGAGGAGGTAGCTTTTCCCCAGTCATTTTGAGTACCTTCCAACCTGAGGAGCTCATTTTCCAGCACGATAACTGACAGTATCCTGGTGCTCTTCAGTATGTTTCAGTATCCACTATTGCAGTGCTGACAGTGTTCCACTGCTATTCATAAGGTTTTCAGTGACTAAATATTCAGAAGTAGTCCATCTTTCCTTTTTCCTAGTCTGTCTTAATCTGGATGCTTATATGAAATCTGTCCAACATTGGTGACCCTGCTGATACTGAAAATACTGGTAACATAGCTTCCAGAATCATAGCAACACACAAGGACTACAGTACAGCAAACTGACAGACAAATGGTGGAAAAACAATATAATAAATGTATTTCCTGACTTATGACTAAATTTAATTTTGGTGACTGTGTCATAAATCAGTTCAGATGTGAGATACCTCTGTTTTTGTTTTAATTATTATTGCCTTTTTGTATCAGTATCTTTATAAGTCTGATCTTTATCTTTGGGGGGGTGATATAAAAATGGTCACATCAATAAATTATATACTTCAAAATTGTATGTAACATATATATATATATATTACTAATGATAAGACATACCCTTCAAAACACACAACCAGATGGTTATAGTGCACACTACATAGTAACTCAAACATGTCATAAATTGGAGACTATCTGCATATTGAAGCAAGAAGTAAACAATATCATTTAGAAGATCTAAACAGCATTTTCCCTTTATTAATAATAAGCAATGTACATTGAATATATATTATTATACAGTACAGTAAAATCTGTGAGAGCCAGAACTAGACAGGACTGCCTTGTTTTTCTGAGTATCACAAGTGTTCTGCCTCCCACAAGTCATATCAGTTTTCTACTGCTTGTTTTGAGTTTTCCTTCTCTGACAGGTTTCTGCCTTATAAAGGTTCCAGTGTTCACCATATAATTTATTCAACAGAGTTTCTTTTTAATTACTTGGGTGGTAGATCCTGAACTAGAAATGGGAATATGATAGATTACAAACCAGACATTTTGTCTTCATGAAGTTTACAATCGAGTCAGTGACTATTACAGATGTAATTATATTACTGATGAATAATCTATAGAGAAACGTAGTTGTTATTTCCTTGATAATGATCATAGAGTCTAATATTATTTTTTAGATAGAAAAGCAATACTACTCTTCCCTTCTCTTTTTTTACTTTACATGCTAAGAACAAACATGTTTATTTAAGTACTGCCTTAGAATATTAATCTGTGAAATCCTGACTTTCCATCACACAATGCCCTATGAGGCTCTAGAAGATTCTGTGAATAACTTTGAAAATTTTTAATTAAATTGGTTTAAATCAGGAGAAAATATTTAAATCTTAAAATAGACTTAAATGAAATATATCTTGTCTCAGATACAATTTATAGGCCATTTAATTTTTACTGCTATTTTAGATGTAGACCTCTCTGATATGAAAAGGAATGAACCCTACGACTATACATTTGTGAAGTGGATGACTAAAAATAAGGTAATATTTACTGCCCTTTTCATTACTGTGTTTCCATTTTATACTTAATTTATGAAGGAAACCTGCTGAAATGATTTGGGAAATGTTCATTATTGTTTTTTTTTATGAAATTCCACTGGTGAATATTTGGGTGACTAAAATCATCTTTCATTTTAAATATTGCTGTATTTAAAAGGGTCCACTTCTAATCTTTTTATCCTAAAATTAATATTAGAAGTGTAGTTTTTTCTATCTATTCATATTTATTTTGCAGAAATTGTCAGCGATTCCTGTTTCAGCATTCTGTAACTCAAAGGCCAAAATGCAGTTTGAGAAATTTGTGCGGTTTTGCTTCATAAAAGTAAGTACCCTACTGTACTGAAAACAAATTTATAATATCTTTTCTTCTGATACATAAGGCACTAGTTTTATGTTCTAATGTTAGGAATGAAATGTTCAAATGTAATTTTTTAAATTTTGGCTTACTGTCACGATATTAACTGCCTACCAGAGCAAAACTCAATTCTCTTTGAAGGGAGACAACATAAGTAGACTCCTTAGTAGGTAGCAATCACAGTGCCCAACATAAAAGAGTGACTAAACATATAAAGGAGTCCTGGTGTGGCCCTGTGGGTTAATG